CATCAACGAGACGACCTTGAACGACAAATCGCAAATCTTCGACAATACTACCCAGAATACGAAATCATCAGTGATATCGGATCGGGACTTAACTGGAAACGCAGGGGGTTTGTTGCCCTTTTGGAACGAATACACACGGAAGGAATCGAAGAAGTGGTGGTTACCCGAAAGGTTTAATTTTTTTTATTTACTCTGATTTTTATTGCCTTTATTATTTTACTAACTTTTTTTATTAGGACCGATTGTGCCGATTGGGATCCGAGCTTGTGGAATGGATCTTTGAGAAAAATGGGACTCGGCTCGTGGTACTCGGTATGGATGTCAGTGCTGAAAGTAGTGAAGCCGGAGAACTTGCGGAAGACTTACTCTCAATCGTCACGGTATTTGTGGCAAGACATAATGGAATGCGTTCCGCCGCCAATCGTAGAAGAAGACGAGAAGTTGCCAAAGCCCAAGAAGAACAAGAGCTCCAAGATTCCAGCAGGCAAGACACAACGTATCCGTCTCTTTCCTACGCAAGAGGAGAAGTCGAAACTCAAACGCTGGATGGGAACAGCGCGATGGACTTACAATCGGTGTCTCGTAGCAGTCGAAAAAGAGGGTATCGAGCGGACAAAAAAAGCTCTACGAGCACAGTGTCTCAACGCCGCAAACTTCAATAATACCGAACTTCAATGGGTCCTTGAAACTCCTTACGATATTCGCGATGAAGCGATGAATGATTTACTTAAATCATATTCATCAAATTTTGCTGCAAAACGGAAGAAATTTAAGATGAAATTTCGCTCTAAGAAAGATCAACAACAATCTATTGCAATTCTATCAAAACATTGGGGTAAATCTAAAGGAGTTTATACATTTCTTTGTAAGATGAAGTCAGCCGAAAATCTCCCAGCAGAGCTCCATTACGATGCACGACTTGTGATGAATCGGCTTGGAGAATTTTATCTTTGTATTCCTCAACCACTCGAGATATGGGCCGAAAATCAAGGTCCTACACAATCAGATGCAGTGATCGCTCTAGATCCAGGTGTACGAACATTTATAACTGGATACGATCCAAGTGGACAAGCTGTAGAATGGGGCAAAAATGATATTAGTAGAATTTATCGGCTTTCTCACATATATGACAAGATTCAAAGCACACATGACTCTATTCATGGAAAAGTACACAAACGAAAACGCTATAAACTTCGCAGGGTCATGCTTCGTATACATAAAAAAATCCGTTGTCTTATTAATGATTGTCACCATAAACTTGCCAAATGGCTGTGTCAAAGTTATCGTATTATTTTGTTGCCCGAGTTTAAAACACAGGGAATGGTTAGGCGTGGAAAACGGCGGATTCGTTCTAAGACTGCACGGATGATGTTAACATGGTCCCACTTCCGATTCCGCCAATATCTTCTACATAAAGTTCGTGAATATCCATGGTGTCGGGTAATTATATGTACTGAAGGATATACCAGTAAGACATGTGGGTGCTGTGGTCATATCCATCGAAAATTGGGTGGATCCAAAGTGTTTCGTTGCCCAAGTTGTACAGCTGAGCTTGATCGGGATATCAACGGTGCTCGCAATATACTACTTCGCTATCTTACCGTTACATCTAAAGAGCCGGTTTATGCCGGCGCTGGGACCT